GGTGTGTGGCTCAGTTTTGATTCCCTCTTTGAGACTACATTTCAAATTGTCCCTAACATATATGGCTCCTCCCCCTCCTCGTCTAATATATCTATCTGTGTGAAATAGTTTAAATCCATTTATTTGATATTCAGCTAATAGTTCTCTATTTTCTACATTCATCCACGTTTCGGTAAGTGCAATAATATCTATTTCTTCTGTACAGATAAGAGCATTTAACGCGTTTATTTTGTTTCTTAGACTTCTACTGTTAGTGTAGTATACCCTAAGTGAATTGTTATTTTGAGGCCCTTCTCTTTCCTTGATCATTTTGCCAATTTGTTTCTCCAACAAACACATATTTTTATTACCTCCTTCCTCCCTATCAATTCCCATACCAATATCTACTAACAGTTTAAACCCAAACAAATGCCTCTAACCACTGGTTCCAACGAGTTCGCAACAGCAACAACCCCAGCCCTCGATAAATGCACCCCATCACAAGCATACATTTCATTTCTTCCATAGAAATGTTCCCAGTTGTCTATGAAAGATATAGCATTTGATTTGCAATATCTTTCCAGCCGGCAATTGACACCAAGTGCCCTTGACAACCATTCACTGCCAATGCTCTTTCTTGGAAGAATGCCACATATGATCGGGATTCCTCCCTTGCTCCTAACTAATTCTATGGCTTTGTTAAGTTTCTTTATCAGTTCCTCACTCCTAACTCGTAAATACTGGTTCTCGTAAAGACTTGGGTAAATACTGGTTCTGTAACAGAGTTGTTGCTTTGTGGAACCAATTACTGCGTAACGTGGTGGAGGTGGGGTCCCTCGATTGTTTCAAACGTGGGTTGGACATGTATATGAGTGGGTTTGGCTGGTTATAGATAGGAGCTGCCTCGTATGGGCCAATAGGCCTTCTGCAGTTACCTTTGTTCTTATGTTGTTCCTACGTTCTACTCCGCCCAAGCTGTCAGACGGCAGTTGCCACAAATATATTATTACCTAATTATTTCAATGTCTCTTGATTGATTTTTTTTTTTTTTTTTGCAGTAATATTATTCAATAGTGTTAATTGTGATATATTTATATAATAAAATGTGTGAACCAATGTTGTACTCAAAATTATGCATATTAGTGATTCAATTATTATGTTCATAAAACAATAAACAAATAGTTTTGCTGTTGTTACACTATATACACAGGTTATATATAAGTATCTGCATGTTTTTCTCACCATAACGAACCACTAGGTTGGTATTGTGAGTCAAAATGCAACGAGGAGTGACCGCCACACACCAGCCAGCCACTCACTGCCACTCCCTCCCTCAACAACACCTCACTCGCCCTCATTCTCCTCCCACAATACCGTTTTTGCATTTATTCACTATACACAGACGTTATATATAAGTATTTACATGTTTTGTTCACCATAACTGTATATCAAAGCTTGTATGGTGAATAAGGCATTAAGACATAGCTACTCACACAGTCAGCTGGTCGCTGCCGCCCTCAAGGCCAGATGCACTAATATTTCTCCTCCAACAATACTGTTTGTGGTGTTATTATGCTATATACACACATTATATATAAATATCTACCTGTTTTATTCACCATACTTGTACAAGTAAACTGGTTTGGTGCCCAAAGTCCATCGTGGTCACCGGTAAATAACATGATAAATCGTGCAGACGACGCCACCGCCCTCACCAAAATGTTGACTCCCAACTTACTCCTCTTGCTGTTTATACCCTCTATACACACGTTATATATAAGTATCTACATTTGTGTTCACCATAGCGAACCACTAAGCTGGTATGGTGAGTGCAGTCAATAAAAGGTGGCCACACGTTGTATCCTGTGTATCGAATTTACTCAGTTTCTATGATCGGGCCACAGAGATATTACAGGAAAGAGATGGCTGGGTTGACTGCATCTATCTGGACCTAAAAAAGGCTTTCGACAGAGTTCCACATAAGAGGTTGTTCTGGAAACTGGAAAATATTGGAGGGGTGACAGGTAAGCTTCTATCATGGATGAAAAATTTTCTGACTGATAGAAAAATGAGGGCAGTAATCAGAGGCAATGTATCGGAATGGAGAAATGTCACAAGTGGAGTACCACAGGGTTCAGTTCTTGCACCAGTGATGTTTATTGTGTACATAAATGATCTACCAGTTGGTATACAGAATTATATGAACATGTTTGCTGATGATGCTAAGATAATAGGAAGGATAAGAAATTTAGATGATTGTCATGCCCTTCAAGAAGACCTGGACAAAATAAGTATATGGAGCACCACTTGGCAAATGGAATTTAATGTTAATAAATGTCATGTTATGGAATGTGGAATAGGAGAACATAGACCCCACACAACCTATATATTATGTGAGAAAGCTTTAAAGAATTCTGATAAAGAAAGAGATCTAGGAGTGGTTCTAGATAGAAAACTATCACCTGAGGACCACATTAAGAATATTGTGCAAGGAGCCTATGCAATGCTTTCTAACTTCAGAATTGCATTTAAATACATGGATGGCGATATACTAAAGAAGTTGTTCATGACTTTTGTTAGGCCAAAGCTAGAATATGCAGCTGTTGTGTGGTGCCCATATCTTAAGAAGCACATCAACAAACTGGAAAAGGTGCAAAGACATGCTACTAAGTGGCTCCCAGAACTGAAGGGCAAGAGCTACGAGGAGAGGTTAGAAGCATTAAATATGCCAAAACTAGAAGACAGAAGAAAAAGAGGTGATATGATCACTACATACAAAATAGTAACAGGAATTGATAAAATCGACAGGGAAGACTTCCTGAGACCTGGAACTTCAAGAACAAGAGGCCATAGATTTAAACTAGCTAAACACAGATGCCGAAGAAATATAAGAAAATTCACCTTCGCAAATAGAGTGGTAGACGGTTGGAACAAGTTAAGTGAGAAGGTGGTGGAGGCCAAGACCGTCAGTAGTTTCAAAGCGTTATATGACAAAGAGTGCTGGGAAGACGGGACACCACGAGCGTAGCTCTCATCCTGTAACTACACTTAGGTAATTACACTTAGGTAATTACACACAGTCAGAAGACAACGCCACTACCCTCCCCTCCCCTCCCACAGCATTACTCCTTCCTCCATGGAGCACAGCACTAAATATCACCACAATCCTGCTATTATCAGAACCCTGGTCAGTTTTATCACAGTCAGGGGCCTTTTGTAATAATATCGTCGCTACATAATAGCATGAACAAGTATATTATGGCATTTTTAGGCGATGCTGTGGTCACAAGCTGAACAGCAGTGCTGTGAGCTCATGCTGCGTGCATCAGGCTTGGTAGCTCACTCAATACTGAGACCCCTAACACCCGGGAATTTGGCCCACGATTTAAAAAAAAAAATGGCGTCTGTTTACAAGAGCCCCGATGAAGGTGTGGTGAACCCCGTGTATCCGCGGGCCGTTTAAATCTTGCGTAGCACTCCAAAGCATCATATGATGCGATGCGCATTTTACTGCAAGTCGGTCAAAGCATCATATGATGCGATGCATAATTTAAGGGTTAAATTGTTTTCACTGGAAATGCAAAGAGTTAGGGGTGACATGATAGAGGTTTACAAGTGGATGAATGGACGTAACAAAGGAGGATATTAATATGGTATTAAAAGTATCAACACAAGACAGAACATGAAACATTGGATACAAATTGGATAAGTTTAGAGTTACGAAGGACTTGGGTAAATATTGGTTCGGTAACAGGGTTGTTGATTTGTGGAACCAATTACCGCGTAACATGGTGGAGGTGGGGTCCCTCGATTGTTTCAAACGTGGGTTGGACATGTATATGAGTGGGATTGGGTGGTTATAAATAGGAGCTGCCACATAGTGGCCAATAGGCCTTCTGCAGTTACCTTTATTCTTATGTTCTTATGAATTGACAGGGTTATCTTGAGGTGATTTCGGGGCTTAGCGTCCCCGCGGCCCAGTCCTCGACCAGGCCTCCTTTTTGTTACACACCCCCAGGAAGCAGCATGTAGCAGCTATCTAACTCCTAGGTACCTATTTACTGCTAGGTAACAGGGGCATCAGGGTGAAAGAAACTTTTTGCCCATTTGTCTCCGCCTCCATTGGGGATCGAACCCGGAACCTTAGGACTACGAATCTGAAGCGCTGTCCACCCAGCTGTCAGGTGCCCTAAGACAAAGGGTGGACAAAGACAAACTCTTAAGCACAGGTGGAACATGAACTAAGGGACACAGGTGGAGACTTAGTACTGTACTCAAATGAGCCTCAGAGACATTTGAAAGACTTTTTTCAGTGTCAGAGTAGTTAACAGATGGAATGCACTAGGAAGTGATGTGGTGGAGGCAAACTCCATATACAGTTTCAAATGTAGATATGACAGAGCCCAGTAGGCTCAGGAATCTGTACAACAGTTGATTGACGATTGAGAGGCGGTATCAAAGAGCCAAAGCTCAACCCCCCGCAAGCACAACTAGGTGAGTACAACTAGGTGAGTACTCATGTTTACTACCATACATCATTACCTATCACTGCCTCAACCAGTCTCAACCAGTAATTTGTTCACTTTACTCTTCAAGAACAACCAACTTTGACAAGCAGGATAACTTCATCATCGAGGAACATAATATTCAGTTTCTTTAATATTAATCCCAAAAATATTGGTTTTATATGACAATTTAGGGTGATCCAAGAACACAACCTCACCCCCCATTTCCCACTGCATCTATGGAAAATCTAGGTCAAATTCCTGCAAAACAGATGTATGAAACTTTTTTTGGAATGCATCATGTTTGTAAGTTGGATACGATAAAGCATTATAACCACTCCCATGGCGACCAAATTCAGATATGCAGAACAACATACGTATATGGTACTAAAAATTTTTTACATAAATTATCACCCAAACACTTGCCCTAAAATTGCTCAAGAGGAAATTACTGTATCTTCAAATTTTTAGTAAACAAGATGACACAATAGACTGGTAAATATAAAATGTCCATACCTGTATAAAGCATAATTGGAAACCATTCCACTCCAGGGATGTCTGTACTCTGTATACGAGGTGTCCTAATCATCCATGAACTGTACACAGTCACTGTCTTATCCTGTTCCTCAGATAATCCAGGAAGAAGGGAAGTAATATATATACGAACAGCATCAACAGCACCGGGTTTTAGAGTAAAGCAGGCAGTAGTAGACAACTTTACAGTCAGTAGGGGAGATGGGTAAACCTCTTGAACCTATAATAATAATGTTAATACATCGCTTTAGAATAACTTCATTAAATAAAAGTCTGCCACGTGTGCACATCAATACTGCACCTATGCAGATGATGAGTCACAATAACGTGGCTGAAGAAATGAGACCAAACCACGACTCAGAACATGGAGAAGCGACAATGTTTTGGTCCATCCTGGACCATTATCAAGTTGTGTGGACCATTATCATGACTTGATAATGGTCCAGGACAAAACATTGTCACTTCTCCATCTTCTGAGTTGTGGTTTGGTCATCAATACTGCACCTACTGTATATTGTTATAGTTGTAAAGTATTAAGCCATGGACAGGAAATCTAGTAATAATTTGTATTTCCATGAAAAGCCTGGTGCACATGCTCATGTTTTACATCAGACATGGAGTGTTACACTAGGGTATTTGTGAACAAAGTGTACTAGAATAACAGTACAAGTTTGTTGAGAAATAGCATGTTCATGTGCAGTTGTACAGAGAACCAATCATAATATAAAACTCAGTAGCAACTCCATTGTCAAAATGGCATTGCCATTTTTTGTTGCCACTCTCATGCAGCTTTTAAAGAAACTAGACAAGAAATCTAGGCAAAATAATACAAACCACTGCATGAAAGAAATGAAAATGGAAAACGAAACAAATGACAATTAGCACTAGGTAAAAAGATTGTTACAATTGGTCTGGTTACCACTAGATGCTGCTCAGGCCATCAGATTTCCCAAACCACTACTAATGCTTACTTGCAAGTCACTAGTATCAAAACCCCAAATTCCAGTGGGAAACAAGGAACTTACAGTGGGAATAGAAAGCTACTGCATTTTGTTACTGCCTACTCTTGTTTATCCACATTATATGAGGTCCACCCATCACCGCTTAAGGGTTAAGCCAGATACAGAATCCGGATTAACAGGAATTCTTACCGGGAAAGTCCACAGGTGAGCATATTCGCAAATTTTTGTACCATATCTAACAAAATTAATATTTCCACACACTATACATGATACAAGGAAAATTTTCACATACCAATACAGTACTTATAGTACTGAAACAATTTAGTGACAAAAGAAATTTCAGCTTATCTTGTTAAAGTTGTTGACCAATCCACACACTAGAAAATGAAGGGTTTCGGTCTGTCCTGGACCATTCATAAGTCGATTGTGATTGGTCAACATACTTCAGCCACGTTATTGTGACTCATCAGTTGTTGAAGTTCATCTGCTTAATTGATGAAGGGCTTCAGAATGTTCCTAATCTAACCTAACTTAACACAATGCTAAAGTAAGTAAGTAATTATCAAAAGAAGGCACCAAACCGGGAAGGCTATGTAGCACCATCAAATGCGCAGAATAATCAGAGGGCGCTAAATATCACCAAGGATGCCAATACGAGAACAAAAACGCATAAGGCGAACGATATCAAAAGTATCCGAGTCACCAAGAATTCTATTGAGGGACAGGTGACCGCGAGGGGCGGTCGGAAAGCAAGACACGCTCGTCCTGGAAGTCAGGACATTCAAGAAGGACATGCACGACCGTAAGAGGGACAATGCAACTAGGACAATAAGGAGCAGGGCGGCGCTCCATCAAGTGACCATGGGTTAAGCGAGTATGGCCAATATGCAACCTTGCCAGAGCTGTTTCCCATCGCCGTTTACCGTGGTAGGAGGACAGTGACTAGGAAACACAACATTTAAGAGTACGTAGTTTGTTACCAGTAACAGACGACCAAGAAGCCTGCCAACGGGTAAGGACGGAGGAATGGATAACCAGGTAATAGTCGGAATATGGAATACCTTTATGAGAGATGGGACAAGAGCGGACAGCTTCCTTGGCAGCAGCATCCGCACGCTCATTTAAAGACACACCAATATGGCTGGGAACCCAACAAAACTCAACCGACTTAAATTTACTGTGAACAAGAAACAGCTGGATCTCGACAACTACTGGATGAACCGGATTAAAGGACCCGAGAGCCATGAGGGCACTACGAGAGTCAACAACAACTACAAAGGAAGACTGACAACGAGAAAGCAGGAGACGAAGAGCATAAAGAATAGCATAAAGCTCCACTGTAAAGATGCTAGTCTCCGGAGGTAAGTGACACATATAAGTGCGATCAGGAAAAACAACATAGCAGCCAACACCGTCCGCAGACTTAGACCCATCGGTGAAGACAGAAACGAAGCGGGAGTGAGAAGAAAAGTGCTCGAGGAAAAGGCGTTTTAGAACCGTAGGAGGGGTAAAAGCTTTAGTGATACGGGTCAAGGATGTACAAAACCGCGGAAGAGGGGGACTCCACGGGGGCAAAGAAGGAACAACACGAGGAGAAACATTAGAAATACGAACGGAAAGAGAATTCTGTAGGCGAGATAACCAGACAAAGAGGGAGGTGGTGAAGAGGAACAGGAACCGCAGGAGGGGTAAAAGTTAAAGCACGACAGAGGTGAGAGGAAGGATGTTGTAAGGACCGCGCAAGATAGTGAAGACAGTAGCGATCACGGCGGTCCTGGAGAGACAGGAAGCCAGTGTCAACATACAAGCTAAGGACGGGAGTCGAACGAAAGGCACCAGAACTGAGGCGCCACCCAGTATGGTGCAAAGCATCAAGACGGCGAAGAGTGGAAGGAGAAGCAGACGAGTAAGCAGGGCAACCATAATCGAGCTTAGACAGGACGAGAGAGGAATGTAAAGCAAGGAGAGTGCGCCTATCTGCCCCCCAAGAAGTATGGGACAAGACCCGAAGGAGGGTAAGGGCCTTAGAGCACTCAACACGGAGGTAAGAGATATGGGGAGACCAAGACAAACGAGTGTCAAGGAATAACCCCAAAAGCTTCGCGGAATCTTTGTACTCAAGGAGATGACCATAAAGTGACAAAGAGGGACGAAGAACGACCCGTTTCCACGTAAAAGTAATTGCACAAGTCTTAGAAATGGAGAACTTGAAGCCATGATCGGTGGCACAAGACGACACGGCATCAATTGCAAGTTGAAGCCAGCGCTGAAGGAGAGGCGAATCATCACCCTGACAGCAAAGGGTAAGATCATCGACATAGAGAGCGGAGAAGACACCTGAAGGAAGAGAGGAAAGAAGACCATTGAGGGCAACCAGAAAGAGAGTAGTGCTCAGAACACTACCCTGGGGCACACCTGAAAAGAGGCAGAGAGAGCGGTACCAAGGCGCACCCGAAAGGAATGACGAGAGAGGACGCTGCGGAGAAAGAGAGGGAGATGACCACAAAGGCCAAAAGAATGAAGTTGAGATAGAATATGATATCGCCAAGTGGTGTCGTAAGCCTTTTCCAGGTCAAAAAGGACAGCAACAACGGAGCAAAAGCAGTACGAATAAAGACCTCCAAGTTCACCAGGACATCTGTCGTGCTGCAGCACTTGCGGAAACCAAATTGAGAAGGGGAGAGGAGGTGATGGTGTTCCAGGAACCACATCAGACGAACGTTAACCATACGTTCAAAGAGTTTGCAGACACAACTTGTGAGGGCAATAGGGCGAAAGTCCTTAGAGGAAGTACCCAGAGACCCTGGTTTGCGAACAGGGAGGACAACGGCATCGAGCCAGTCCTCGGGGACTGACGACGACTCCCAGATCCGATTATACAGACTCAGTAAATACCGAGACGTGCACGGAGGGAGATGGCGAAGCATCTCACAATGAATACCATCGGAGCCCGCCGCCGTAGAACCGCAGAGGTCCAGGGCAGAACGAAGTTCAGAGAGAGAAGGGATCATTATAGGGAAGCTGAAGACGAGTGCAGAAATCTAAAGGACGAGACTCAAGGACAGGTTTACGAAGAAGGAAAGATTGGGGAAGATGAAGACCAGAGCTAACAGAAGAAAAGTGGGAACCCAGTTCGGAAGCGACCTGCAACGGGTCCACCATACGAGTATCATGGAGGTGAAGGACCGGTGAAACATTGGGAACGAACTTACCCGCTATCTTGCGGATACGCTTCCAGATCTGGGGCAGAGGAGTTTCGGACGTAATTGTTGAGACATAAGATGCCCAACATTCACGTTTAGCTGTACGGATGGCCCGTAGGGCCACCGCACTCGCTTTCCGAAAGAAAAGAAAAGAATCGGCCGTCTGCCGATGGCGGTGCCTCTTCCAGGCTGCACGCTTACAGCGGACAGCCCGAGCACAATCCGCATTCCACCAGGGAACGCACTTCCGCAGACCCCAAGAGGAAGAGCGAGGAATAGAGCAGAGGGCAGCGTTGAAGACAGTGTCATGAAAAAAGAGGAGAGCACGAGGGAGAGGTCAGAGAGAGCAGCGCTGAGGGTAAATAGGTTCCGGTTCGCTTTAGCAAACTGCCACCTAGAGAAGGAGAGGGAAGGGCAAAAAGAGAAAAAGGAAACAAGGATGGGGAAATGGTCACTGCCATGGAGGTCATCAAGAACCTGCCACGTGAAATCTAAGTAAAGAGAAGAGGAGCAGAGAGAAAGATCAAGACAGGAAAGGGTGCGAGTCCGAAAGTCCAAGTGAGTGGCCTCACCAGAATTCAGAAGAGACAGGGAAGAAGAGAGGATAAACGGCTCAAGAAGGCGACCTCGGGTATTCGTCAGAACATCACCCCAAAGAGAATGACGACAATTGAAATCACCCAGCAGGAGCACAGGCTCCGGCAAGGAGTCCAGGAGGTGTTTCAAATCAGGAAGAGAAAGCGGGACACTCGGGGGGGGAGATAAATGGAACAAACTGTGTACCATTTCCCCACAAAGATACGAGCAGCAGAACAATGGAGAGGCGAAGGAAAAAGTAAGGGGACAAAGGAAACATCAGTGTGAATCAAGAGAGCAGAAGAATTAGGAGCCCCAGCAACAGCTGGGGGGGGGGGGGGGAGAGAAAGGAATAGCCACAAAAACGACCAGGACGAGCACCAAGCATCGGCTCCTGAAGACAGACACAAAGGGGCGAAAACTGCGAAATTAGAAGTTGGAGTTCAAGGAAATTGGAGTAAAAACCTCGAACGTTCCAT